AACTATACATCTGACATGGAACTGTTAATAATATCCAGAATCTACAAGGAAGTCTAATCAGCGAGAAAAAGATAAATAACCCTATTGAAAATAGGCACATAACATGAACAGATGTTTCTCAAAAGGAGATATACAAATGGCCAACAAACGTGAAGAAAACTACCTCTAGATTGCAATGAACACTATTGGGGTGATGGCTACCTAAAGACCCAGATATTACCATGACACAAGTAATCTCTGTAACTAAAAATCACTTGTACCCCTAAATCTATTAAAAAGTTGTACTTAAATGGGAAATATTTGCCACCATTAGACAATTGTAATTCTGACCTTTTAGTATTTTTTCTCCAGCTTATTAATGATCATCGTTTCAATATTAGGACTTGATACACTAACTCTTAACCTCAAGAGTAAGATTCCTCAGGAGGCAATAAATTAGGTTTTCCTATGAAACATTGGAGCCCTGATTTTTATGACAGGTTGCTTGCTGGGTTCCATTTCTCAGACCTGTGTTTCCCCAGGGGCGACACAAAATACTACATAGCTATTCCTCAAAGGGGCTGCCAGTTCTCTCATCTGGGCAGGTTGCTTTAGAAGCAAAGCCAAGCCAAGCCAGAGCTCTGCAGGCAGGAAGAAGCAAAAGTCTAATCCACGTGTCTGTAAAGGAAAAATCTCCTATGTCTTCAGAAATGAGGCACATTTCACACCTATGTGCATTCACATGGGGTAATTTCCTTAGTCACAGATCCGTAAAATATTAAATTAGAAAATATTGCAAGTTCTAATTTCGGTTAGCAGTATAGCTACTTCCAGAGAATATCATTTGCCTCCCTGATTGTTAACTGCAGTCATGAATTTACTCCTGGGCTTCCTACCCACCTTCTCCTCATTTGTGTGGAGCATATATTCCATGCAGGGCTCGAATGCCTCCATAGTCACTAATATTAATTTCCAAAATTCGTTCACCTACAACTTCAGAGTCTAAAGAGGGGAAATGGCCTGTACCTCTCCCATGAAAGGAAGATGAACACTGATGCGTGGATTCCTGAGTGATAATAACCACACCACCAGGTACGGGGAACCTACTATCTGTCAAACATGAGTGGTATAGTTTTCGATTTTATTATCAGATACGTATCTTCTGTAATAGCTATCCCTGCCCTACAATGATGAGGAGACTGAAGTTCAGGGAGGGGAGGTAAGGACGGGATGTGGGCCATCAGGTTTCACTTCTGGATTCCCAGGCACCATCCAGTTTATGGTTTTGAAATCAGGCTCATATTCCCCGTCCATTCTCTCATCCTCTCTGTCCACCTGAAACAGTAGACTAGATAAAGGGAAATTCCTCTTGATAAGGGAAAAATCTTCCTTTCACAAGAGAGTCATGAGTGTATCAGATATCCAAATAAAATACAGCAAATTCTTTGTAATTTACCTACATTTTTGTGAAATGCCTAATTTAATAAATTTTTTCTAAATAATTATGGTTTAATCATAGGCAACAATACTGTTTTCAGAAAGAGGAGAGCCCGATTTGCATGCCCTACCATGAACATCGCATTGGTAGCTATCCAAGTTCAGTTTCAATGGTTTTCTGCATTTGGGGTAGACCAACTGCTGTTGAAAATGGTCTTTCCTTCAATCAAGCAGAGGATCTTCCATGTTAATGGGATTAACTGAAAGAACAAACCAGGCCCCCACCTCAATTCTCCAAATTTATAAGAAATAGATATGAGTCAATGAATTACATTGTTGAATTATAACTGCCAAGATTTGTGAAAAGACAACTTCGAATGGGGAATACCTTTTTTTTTTTTTTTCTTTTGAGAAGGGCCCATCAAGCCTAGATCCTATATATTCTGGTCTCAGGAAGGAGATTAACCATAAACAGATTTTTTCCTTGGGGAAAGGATGAGACATAATTGGACAGGGAGAAGCAGCTGAGCGTGGCCTTTCCCCGGCTTCATTTTCTAACTTGATACCAACAGCCCTTGGGGCCACCAGACAATCTTCAGTCCAAGGTAACTGGCGACTGCTGGGGGACTGTGCATGTGCTATTTCCTCCCTAATCTCATGCATTCACTTAAACTTCTGTCTCAGTAAAACACTCAATGCATTTAGGGAACAGCCACTTAAAGGGCATAGGCCACACCACCTGCCACTTAGCAGCAGCAGAATCCCGGAAGCTTTCCAACTGTCTGTGAACATGTGAATGCCTTGTTCTGTTTCATTTACCTTTATACTAATCTAGAGTTTAGAATAAGAATGTGAAGGCCCCCTAAATGCACGAGCAGGATACCTCTTGGAGCAGAGGAATTGGACAAATGAATTATCATGAAACAATTTTTAAACATCCTATAGGGATTAACCATGTCCCTGAGATTCTCCTGGACAAGAGTCTGAAATTCACTAAGTTCTGTCCAAGTGAAGGAGATGAGGTTGAGGGTAAGCAGTCTTGCTGAGAGTTTTCAAGCTGGGTTTGTACTTACCTGCACTTGCTCGGATGCTCAAGGCACCCTTGTCCTATGTAAAATCAGAAGATCTTCATCTCAACATAGTTCCATGCTCCAACAAAGTTCCCTTGTTTTCACAAAGTTTCATGGGACTTATAGCTAGAAAGGAGACAGAGCAAGGAGGACAAATATATTGGGGTGGGCAAAAGGCAGGATGGTGTGTCTGGTGGTCCCAGGTGAAGGAGGCCTGGGGAGCTGTCATGTGGCTGGTCTCTTCTGGGCACCAACAATTTTCTGGGTGACACATTGCTGCCACTGGTGACCTTCTTCAGAGAAGGGCAAGGCCTGAGCACCAGGGGCACAGGGCCTCAGAAGAGCCGTGAAGGGACCCTGAACTCTCATTCCCTGCAGCAAACTAGGCAGTGGCTGAGAGCAAGTCTCGGGTGGAAGAGAGGGAGGACACCAGAGAGGAGGAGAACGAGAACGCTGATGCCTTCACCAGGCTTCACTTCCAGAGGAAGCGTGACTCATGAAACCATCCCTGTGATGGAAAACTGACCACCGGCACCATCTGACCACCATCACAGACCTCCATCCAACTAATGTGATTAAGTCCGTATAATTTAAGAATTAAAAATCATAATCTTGCATTCAATTTTCTGTGTCTTCTAGGGTAAACTTGTTTTCTTAATAGCATGTTTTCAAACTAAAGAGCTCATAGCTCCTGTGTCTTCTATGAGGAATAATTTTCAAAAGAATTATCTATGAGCCTCATCTCCCCTGCTCTCCTCTCAGCAGCTACCAGTGTTAAACTCTCTGCAATCCTCACAACCATGTTTACCAAACGCCATCACGCTGCTCTCAGGACTGGTTCTCCCTGTGATTGCAGGAGGGACTCAAGGGCTCCAACTACTCCGAGGGAAGTGTGCGCACGCCACGAGGATAAATGGCACTAAAGCAATCTCAGGTAACGTTTTTTGTTTGATTTTCTAAACAAAATCATATCTACTTCAAAAAACAAAACAAGAATTATTTCAGAAAAGTAGTAGTTTCAGATATATACTAAACATCCGGAGTTATGCGGTCATCCAGTCATCTTTACTATTCCTCACTGACTGGGCTGCAGGAGACAGTTTAAGTGGAAAATCGTATGTTTCAAATAGCTTCAGAAAGATATTTTAAGTCATATTTCAACTTTACTGTTTAAGAGGAAATGAAGATTCTAAGAGGATGGCGTGGGTACAAGAGCATTGTATGAAATCATCTAAATATCGGAATGTGCTTACAATGATTACAAAGGGTCACACAACCAGTGCTGAAGGGGTTTTGGCACAAAGAATGGAGAGTCTTGACAGAGTCTGGGACTGAGCAGCTCAGGGAGAAGTCCTCTCCAGCAAACCATAAAACAGGAAGCGTAGATGAAGCCGCTTAGCACACACCAGCACTGACAGGGAGGATGCGGAGACGGTCAGACAGAACATCTCCACCTTTGATTCTGCAAAACCTCAGACCTTAAACTCACTCTTTGCCTCCAGTGTAAAAAGACCTTTGGACTCCAGAGAATCTTTACCAGAACCCTGGGCCTGGTATTGCCACACCTCACATGCACATTCTCTCTTGCAGGTCAATTTTCTGCTCTTCTGCACGTACACAACTCACATGCCATCCTCGTGACTGTGGGTCTCTCAAGCAGAAAGTGAGCCTACAACCAAGGTCAGGGAGCAATTTTCCCTACATATTGCAAGAGATAAAATCACCATGAAACACCACTTATTCCATTGACTTCCTAAATGAATAACCAATATAGATTCTTCACGGAGTGCATTATAGGCTTGTTTCAGTACTTGGGGTTACAAAATACTTTAATCCTTAAAACATGGTTCACCAATTCTATGTTTGGACAGTTTTATTTTCTTATATTAATATTAACTTTTGGTCTCACTAAAGTGGATGTTTTCAGCTGTTTGATTAATTGAAAACAATATATAAAACAATTATATGCATATGTTATGTATACATGTGTGCGCATATGTTAGATATATAAATACACACACACATTTTCCTTTTTTATAACGGGATAACGAGTACTGGAATACAGCTCTCACTCAGTTCCGTGGTTTTACTGGGTCAAGTGTCTTCGGTGTTCATGCTGCCTATAGCAGTTCATTCAAAAAACCCTTTTTTTAACACAACTTGTGCTGAAGAGAAGGTGTCATAAATTCAATATGTGGTTCATCACCAGGACCTGACACCAACTTCTTGTAAGTGGAAAACCTGCCTGGCTTTCTTGTCCCACATGTTCTGGTGCCCATGGAAATATTTCTAAAAGTGCTTTATTACATAATCACGGAGCTGGTCAGTTCTGTGCTGCCCACCACTAAACAGACCTGAGGAGCTGAAGACCCCCTGGGCGTCAGCTGTGGGTTTACCCAGGGGCTGTCCATGGTCTTGCTCTGATGGTGCAGGCTCTGCCAAGTGGTGATGGTGCCTTAGCACATGTGGGGAGACGGAGCACGTTGAGGCTAAGCAAAGAAAAACGCCACCAAGGTGTTTCCTAAATGGTAGGATTTATTTCAGTGCTCACATACAATTGAATGAGACAAACTATTTACATAAAACATAAGTACAAAATATATAATACAATTTATACTGTACAGAATTAGGGTTCCCTCATTTTGTCCCCACCCCCAAATGTTGGTGAGTAGAAATGGAAAGGAGGGGGTTGCTGTGAATGGGGGACTGGTGCCCTCTTAGCCATACTCAGGATCATCCTTCATGAATTGTTTTAAAAAAGATGCAGAAGGTTGAGATAAAGAAATTGGTAACGCACCAAGAGCAGTGAGCACATTTTCGCTTCTGTAGAAATAGCTCATTTTACCTTATAAACATGTTTGCTGTCCGCAGTGCTGAGGCTCAGAGCAGGTGCAAGTCGAGTCCCACCCATGGTTATGTAACCTCTGCCCACTTCCTCCTCCTCTGACTCCCATCACTGGTCCAGTGTGGCAGGGAATGAGCTCCCTCAGTGGGTGGCTGCAACTGGTGTCTCTAACTGATTTCTGAAAACCATGTTCTGCTAATTGTCATTAAAGCAACAATCTAAGATATAGACCTAGACAGCTCTTGGGGAGCATTTAGGACCAGAGAATGGAGGGACAGAAAAGATGAAAGAAGTGATGATTGGAAATTTCTACCACATATATCTAATAAGATGCTTGCAAAGAAAATCTGACAATCAAATGTAAGGGTGGGAAGAAAGTATGGTACGTCCGATGGCGCCAGGGGAAAATACCCAGGGATCCACAGCCCTCCCAGCAAAGCATCCAAAAATCTATTTCCTCATTCATCTGAGGGGAAATGTAAAACCATCTCGTTCTTTAAGAAGCTCCATTATGATTTGTATGTAATTTTTATTAAAAATTAATTTTAAGACCTGTAACTGTCTGCAAGTTTACCAAGGGCTGAAGTTGGCTTTGGAAAAGGTTCATGAAAAAAGTGAAATAAATCTCAAAAATGTTTATTTTGTATCACAAAACAGGAAACAGCAAATTAATACAGAATGAGGCATTTAACATTTCTTAATAGCTTTAAAAGTCAAGTCACATCAAGTGTCCTAACACAAGTTTTCTTACGCATCTTCTATGAATTTTACATTGGGCCAAGTTTGTGCACTTTCTTTGCATATGGCATAGGTTCAGGGGTGGATCTGAGTGTTTCGTTTGAAGGTTCATACTGTGCTTTCTTTCAATGTGCAGAAGCCTCCGCTTGATTCAGGCCAACAGTCACGATACAAGGGAAAATTAATCACTTTTAGCAGAGAAATACTGTTCACATTCTCAATACAAATTAAGAGTTACAATGTTTTCGTACTTGTGAAGTAGTTTTCATGCTGACTAAAAGTAATAGTAATAATAGTTAGGAGTGTTCTAGGCGGCTCTCGGTCCATATGTACTGTATTTGGACCAGCTCTCAGCTGTATCTGACTTTTCCATAAGTACCAACCTGCCTAAAGAGAAACAAAGACTTCTGACTTCTACTGGCATCACATAGACATTCTTATTATGGAGCACACACTAAGCTGTTTTTTGGAAGATGTAAATATTAGGTGATGTGAGTTTCTGGAGGGCCAAGACTGAGTTCACCTCTATTCTGAACACACCTCTGCACCTGTTGTGGTGCCACATCCCGGTGAGATGTGCTGATCCCCTTCTGAACATGATGTGCCTCTTGGTCATTTTATATTCCTGAGTTCAAAGAGGCATAGAAGAATGATTTTCTTTAAAGTACATCTGACCAATCTTCTGAGTCCAATTGGAACCATTAATATCCAGGTAAAATAATAAATCATCATCTTAAACAAGGCACTAGCAACTTCTTCTAGGAAATTAAAGTATCTGCACTTACATACAGGGCAACTAACCATGCTCTCTTTTTGCCCATATAATATAAAATTGCTTTGATTTTTCCAGAATTCTGGAAAGTTTCCCAGACTCTGCATCTAGCGTGTATTTATCTCACGTTTGAACCCTTCTATTCATACTGCCATTTATCGACCATTTGGACCATCTGGCATCAAATTGCCAAAAAGCTGAGAAAGAATAGGATCACATTGGAACTACTGGTCCTGGATTTCTGGCTAATCAGGAAGCGGTGGAATAAATGTTCTTGCCTGCCTGTTATTTTAGTTGAAGAAATGCCATAGAGTCATTTTCTACATCTGCTTTTCTCCTCCCATGGACAGTTATCCCCATCGTAGGATGCGTTAAACATGTCTGCTTGAGTGAGAATTGACATTGCCTCTGATTGCCGGTAATACGATGGATTGCCGTCTATGGCAGAACGAATGCAATCTCTCATAAAGGACTATGCTTTGAGGCAGCTTTCACTAGGAACTGTACACTGTTTGCCCGGCTCTGAGATTGATTTTTGAGGCTGCAGTAGTCACTTGCAGGGTGAACTTCATTTTCAAAGGAGGAGAGGTCATTTCTGATGCTTCTCTAACAGGTACCAAATTTCTGATAGAACAGGAGGTGACCATTGAGTAAAACATTGATCCATCTGCTAACCAGTATGTGAAATGCATCTTAAGTCCATAAAAATGGGGGATGGGAGAGGCAGTTTAGAAATCACCGCCAATTAGTCCAACATGACATCTCATTTACCACTTTTCAAATTCCAAGAGAGAAAAGAAGCTAAGATGAAAGCAAGGCATTTTCTTTCACTAGGTTGTCAACACAGACAACCTGAATGCATTGGCTCTGAATTGTGGAAGTTGTAAAACATCTTTAAATCAATTATAATCAATGACCTCAATAGGAGAGAACAGCAGAATCAAATTCCACCATGGTCCCCTCCAGTTATTTTATTTTACAAGGTGATTACCAGGCATTTCCTTTCATGCATTTCTTAGTACAAAGTGAATATAACTCCATGTTCTCCCATTTCACACCCATTGTCCAAAGAAGCTGGGGGCTTAGGAAGGCTTCTGGTCTCCAATAACAGGTAGGCAGGTATACCACAGAGTGATCCAGAGGTTAGGACGTATGGATGGCTGGGCATGGCCAACACCATCCGTGAACTGCAGTTTGTACCACATTAGAGAGATGGCAGGGTGTCTGCCATTGGCCATTAATGCCTTCATGGAGATTGAGCTGGAGCTGTGGGAGTCAGGCGCACTCCTGTCCCCATGTGGAAAGGGCTGCACTGATGCAGGTGCAGCTCATTATAGCAACCAGGGGGCCTCTGCCCGGGGTCAGGCGCTCCAGAGCCATCCTTAGAGACAGGGATGCTGACTTCATTGGCATTACTCTTAATACAAAATGCCACACACAAGAAAACCCCACCAAAGTACACATGGTGCCCTGAGGCTAAAGAAAGTGGATGGCCTGGGGGTGAAAGTTGATAAGGAAGTAGTTTGACCGTGTTGGGAAAACATTTCTGACTTACTCTAAAAACAATAAAAAATTACTATAGAGAAGCATAGGGATATTTTTTAATCAAATACTATGAAGGCTCTGTTTAGAAAAGGTGATCAGCTGAACATAGAACTGATACACTTATATCTAATCTAAATATGATAAAAATTACATTTACCATCTAAAGTTTCCCTGGACATTCAAGTACACTCTGATCTACGCCCTCAGATGGCATCTTGGAGACACGGAGACCCTTTGCTTGGATGGCATGACCCACTCATTCCACCAAAGACTTCAGTGGACACATATAAAGAAGTAGGCTTTGAATCCCATGGTTTCCCACCCTTTTGCAGATAAATAAGGAAATGAAGGGATACTTGCTAAAAATCTGGCACTCTGGGAAGTTGGTCCTGGAAGAGTCCAAGAGCTAGAGCTACAGATCTCAGCATGTGGGTTCTGATCCCCCTGGGACCAGCTATAGCACTCACTTCGGGGTGACCAGAACCCCACTTTCACATCACCTACTCATCTGTTCCCCAAGTTGCTTCTTTTCTTTTTGACACCACCTGTGGGTCAGTGGGGCCAGACTCCCGGTTCACCCACGGCTGACCCTCTCTAGGGACAGGTGTTCCTCCATGGCAGGGATGTCCCCATGTCACTTCCTCTTCATTTCCTTAAGAATCTCAGCCCACCTCTCCACACGCACCAGAAACCCTCTGTAGGACCCCAATGTTGATGCTAATTCTACTCAGAACTGACTTGAGCAGACTCACAGAAACGTCTCTGCAGGAGCACAGACATCCAGGTGCCTCATGTAAGTCGCAGGGGCAACAGCACAGAAATAAGGTCAGGGTGAAATGGAGGGTTCTGGAGGACATGCCCAGGTGCCCGGGGACTGTGGTCCTCCCATGCAGTTGAGGCTGCCCTGGTGCCCTGGTGTCCTTAGACGTCACAGAATCCACCATTCAGAGGGGACACAGTCCCCAGTTTCATCAAAGCCACTTGTCCTTCAAACCCGGGGAAGGCCAAATGTGTAAACTCTGACCTTCTCCTGTCAAAGGTCACAGCCTTTTAGGACTGAAAATAGATGGTGACTAGTCTAGTCTAGAGAAGGGATCCTAGCTGCACCGCTGTCTCCTGCAAAGAGTTTAAATGTCCAACTGAAGCCGGCTTCCTGATGAAATCCACAGACCTCAGGTGCAGCCAGAGAGAACTGTAGGAACTGAACGGAAACTGAGGTCTTTTTCCTTCATATTCACATAGGTGTGCCTTAAACAATGAAGGACAGAAGGAAGGAGGAAGGAAGGAGGAAAGCGAGGAAAAGGGAAAAAGATAGGAAAAGTCACGCATGATTTCAAATGTGACCCACAGGGTTCATTTAGCAGGACACCACACTGCCTGGCCCCAGGAGGTGCCGCTTGTGAAGGGGGCTCAGCAGAGGCAGCAGATAGTGAGGCGCAGACCCAGCAGGCGGGAGAGGCCTGGTGTGGGGGGCGTGCAGGAACAAGCTATGCCACGGAGTGCGGGCCAGCAAGAGGCATCCCACGGCGGGTTGAAAGAATCAGAATACAGCTGAGGGTGTTCTAAACCAAACCGAAGGCTCAACGCCATTCACAAGAGCTACAAAGAAAATAAAATACTTAGGAAGATACTTAACCAGGAAGGGAAAGATTTCCACAAGGAGAACCACAAACTGCCACCGAGAGAAATCGCAGATGACACAAACAAATGGAAACACTTTTCGTGCTTGTGGATGGGGAGAACCAGCACTGCTGAAGTGTCCGTACTCCCCAAAGGGATTTACAGACGATGCCAACATCAGGGTTCACGGATCTAAGCCAACTGTTCTCTATTAGAGAGAGAGAGAGAGAGAGAGAGAGAGAGAGAGAAAGAATTTTCCTTGGGGTAGACTGATAGTGTGAGGGAACCAAAATCAGGGGATTTTTGCAGTGCTAATCTCAAAGGTTTATACTATCGGCAATGTGAAATTTCTGTGGTGGGGGAGGGTGTTTCCCACAGTCATCGCATAGGATTGATTAAAGATCAGCTTGGATGTCATTTAGAAAGCTTTTTTCATAAATCCAGTGAAACATTCTTGAAATATCAGTATCCTCTTTCCCAGACAGATAAAATCTCCTTTTACGCTTAGAAGATATTGGGTGATGGGGGTGTGGATTAAAATACAGGTTAAATGAGGGCTACCCAGTGAGGATGGTTCTCCTTACAGGAGAGTGATGAGATGCTTTGAAGTACCCAATGAAAACCCAGGAACGATTAGGAACCTGTCTGCTAGATTTCACCTGCCGGGTGGGCCTTGGAGTGTCTGTCTGTACACAGAGGACCCTCACACCACACAGGAGGGATGCTTGAGATGTGAAAGTCCCCAGGGAAGGCCTGGACGCCATCCATGCACAATCTAACAGCCCTTCCAGAGCTCTCCTACCACTTTAATTCTAATTGTAAATACAGAGTCATTCCTGCCAACTCAGGTAATTATGGGAATATTTTGATATCAATAATATTCATTCTTAAACATAGGGATTTTCCAACACTTTCTGAAATTGTTTCTTTAAATTGGATAGAGTAAAAACATATATGCTAATAAAATACCGTGCTCCTTACACCTTACTATAGATTCTGACATATCTGAAGGTTCATTTTTCAATAAGAACATGTTTCCACATCTTCCCAGGCCGTTGTCACAATGCCCAAGGCACTGGATGAACATTCTCAGTTCTATTCTCACTCTCAATATTCAGCCAACTCCCATATGTCATCAACTGGTTGTTGGTGAGAAATTTATTTATTTCCTGGAGTCCTCTATGAACGGAGTTAGAATACTCTGAAATGCTTATCAGTGATCAATGTTGAGACAATGGGGTTCAATACAACCTTACTTCCAGCCACCCTGACTTCTGATCTTTGAAATACCTCCGCTTCTATGGAGGGAGAAGGAGGCCTGGGCACACCGGGCGGGGGCGGGGGGTGGGGGGCAGGCAGCACTGAGACAGAAGGAAAGGCACCAGAGCTGAGCACCCTGCTTCCCTGGCCTGGAAGCAGCAAGTGACAGCAGGCACGGCAGTAGCACTTCACAGGGACCCGCACAGATGACCATGGGCTGCAGAGAGCCGGCTTCACACAGCCTTAATGCTCTCGGTGGGGCTGATGGCTACACGTTGGTTATATCAGGGAGACAGACAATAACAAACTGATTTTCATTAATGTCAGTTTTTTCACTACTTTCCATAACACGGAAAATAAAATGTTTTCAGTTATAGTTCAGCACTTCCAATACTTTCCCAATTGGCATCATAAATGTTCAAGACTTTTCTTGGCAGGGAGAGAGGAGGCGTGCAGTCAATCCAAAAGCTAAACAGGCTGTTATTTACAGAGTGGCTCTTCAGGACCTTGCGGGGGAGCAGGCCAGGTGGCTTCCAGGCCAGCAGCACGGCCAGGAGCTCCCTGGAATGCCATGAAATGCAACGTCAGCGTCAGGCTCGTTTTGCAGCTTCCCTGTGTCTGTGGCTCTGCTCTGTGCCCTCCCTCCACCAGTGACGACATAGCAAGAGTGTCAGGACCGCGGTCGGGCCCCACTGTGATGGCCACCTCTGCAGGTGCAGGCCAGGTGGGGTCCCTGGGTTTCCCCAGGCAAGAGTCACTCCACGTCCAAACAAAGATGGTTTCCAAGAATCCACAGTACTATCCCTGCTGGGTAGGATGGGAGATTGATGATGAATAATTGATTGGCCACATTCATTTTCTTGATTTTATCAAATATGATGGACTTAAGTGCTCCTTGGGTGGGGGTGGGGAAGGACTCTCAGATAAAGTGCCTATTTCCTTGAATTAAAACATCATGAAGATTTATACTCAAACGCAAGAAGACATTCACACATCTAAAGACGCCTTAAACTTGGGTGGCACATTTACAAAATAAAGCTCAAGAAAAAACATGAACCTGTTAGAGAAATGGGCTGAACACAATTAAAAATTTCACATCATGGCTCATTCAACAACGACCAAGTGTCATGAGCAGACTTTCACCATGTCATATCTAGAGTTTTGTTGCTTTTAAGGACGTTTACTTTTTTGGCAAGAGTGAGACACTTGTGGCTTGAAATGTTCTTGACATGTGTCCAAACTTCATCTCTGAAGCCTCAAAAACACGGGCAGTCATGGAGCTCAGGCCTTTGGGAACTGGGGGTTTACAAGAAGCCAAAAATATAAGAGCTATTAGTACTCATCGTAATTATTGAGATCTGTAAAGTAGGCATTAGAGTAGGTCTTCCCAGTGAGATGCGGGTTGAAGTATTTGTTTCTTTCCTCTAGGATCAAGTTGTTTTTGTTAAATGCCTGTAAAATACAAAAAAAAAAAAAAAAAAAAATTGAAGAATACTCAGTAGGTGGCATTCAGAAAGGAGGTGACTAGGAGGGTGGTTCAGTTAGGTGTGACCTTTCTCCTAAGGCGCCACTGTTTTAAAATGTGTTTTCTCACTATTTTGCTCCCGCAGGTGTACACAGCATCCATGAGGACCTGCCGGTTAGCTCAGCCGAGGCTGGCAGCTTGGGGAATCTTCCAGTTTATTTCTGAACTTCAGTCAGGAGGTTTCCAAGAGATGAAGGGAGAGTTAGAAAACCTAAATCTAAACCTCCAGTGGACCTAAAACTCCAAGGATCTCAAATTAATGGATGCTTCCTTATCACATAGAACCAAATAGGTGAGTAAGCAGCTTTCGGCTTACCATAAACAGGTACGCGTATCAGAGACCTCCACAGAGTTTACTTAAACAAATGCCTTAGCTTCCTCCCATTGGGCACTTTTTAGAAGGGGACTACTGCAGCCATCTGTGACACAGATGCCCTTCCTTGTTCACAGGTTTTTAAAGTCATTTGCAATTTTGCAGAGCCTAACCCATACCTGGCAGAGGACAAACCTTGAGAGGATCAAAATGAAGAAAAAGGAGAGGAGACCAGTCTGTGCAACATATCTGACGAAAGTTCTGGAAGAAGTCATTAAAGAACAAGGTTCTTTGTCTTCATGGCAGAAACATTTCTGATTATCTTAAAAGTGGTTGCTGATGGCCTGGGGCTCGTAGCATAGTGGTTATGGCACCAGCCACATACACTGAGGCTGGAGGGTTCGAACCCAACCTGGGCCAGATAAAATAACAACTGCAACAAAAAAACAGCTGGGTGTTGTGGTGGACACCTGTAGTCCCAGTTACTTTGGAGGCTGAAGGAAGAGAATCCCTTAAACCCAAGAGTTTGAGTTTGAGGTTGCTGTGAGCTGTGATACCACAGCACTCTACCAAGGGCAACATGGTGAGACTGTCTCAAAAATAACAAAACAAAAACAAAAATAAATAAGTGGTTGCTGACTCTTAAGCAGGAAAAGAAGACCAAGTCTGCGGTAACAGTGGCTACGATGAACAAGCTGCTGGGTGGGACCCTCGCTCAGAGGAGCCACCCTCTTGGTTTCTGGAGGTTTGTTGGGCAGGTTTTTACGCATGGATGGAGCTAATGCTCCACACTCCTCTCTACTCAGGGAGGCTGTGCGGGGCGAGTCCTTAATTCCTGGGTTTTGCTTCCTTCTCCAGATCTGTCCTACAAGGGTTGGGAGGTGTCAGGGGCTAACAGGTCCTGGTTTAGGCAGGGTCCAGGTGAAAAGTCAGTTGTCTGCGTCTCTGCCCAAGTGGCAGGGAAGAGAGGCCACATGGCCGAGATTTAAGTGAGGACACTGTGGCTCCTGGGCCATAAGATCTTCTAACCACCTGAAGAGGTAGGGGCTGAAGACACTCCATCTTCTCACATAGAAGGGGGATTTGATTTCAAAGGAAACCATCATGATGAGATGGCATCAGAATACCCCTATAAACCTTAAGGGGAAGCACAATCTTAAGAGGAATAGGAAATTTTAGTTAAACTTAGATCAGAAGACTTCCCCTCATTCTTGTGGGTAATGAGGGAGGTCAGGAGCAGTGGACAGAAGCCCTTCAGTCTTCCCAGTTACATCCCGGGCTTCATGAACTCTAGGGCACTTAAGCCTCACAGCAGTATGAAAGTAGGTATTGTTGTACCCATTCTAAAGATGTGGAAACTAAGGTTCAATGAAGTAAGTAACTTGTTCTCTGAACCATGACACAAAATGGCTTAAATAAAAACCACATTTATTTTTCCAAGCATGGATCAAAGTATTTTATATAAATGCCTCATGGGATTCTATTTCAATTTATAAAAAAAGGAGAAATTGGAGACTCAGTAAGTGCAAATAGCTGGCTGGAGTCTATCGAGCTGGGAGAGGCCGGGCCTGACTTGGAAGCCAAATCTGTCAGGTACAGAGCTGGGACCCTTTCCATACCCTCTTCCTTAGAGTATAAATAAAACTGGCCATATACTCAAAATTTGGGGGCCAAACACAGAATTTATTACCCATTAGGGAAATTTATTTTAAAAAATCACCCCACACCTGTGATAGCACTAAAGCCTTCATCCTGCCTGAAAATTAGTTAAAGATGGTTTTCATACTACAGAAGTTTTCTCAGGATGCCATCCTGGTGGTGATTCCCGAAATGGACCTGGGTCTCTGGCGGCCACTCCTGGGCCTTGGTATCTCTGTCCAGGTGTGTTAGGGGTTGGCAGGAGCCTTCCCAGTCACAAGACCGCTCTCCAGGAGCAGAGGCACAGGTGAAGCTGAGGTATAGTTGGCCAGCAACCCAATACTGTCCAGAATTTTATCTGTTGCTGTTTCGTGTCTCCTTTTTAACTTACATTCCCAGTACGAGTTGCCACCTTTACACAGGCACAGGAAAGCTAAAAGGGTGGTTCCTCAGAGGGGACCCGTCCCTGTCCCCAGAGCCACCACGCTGAGCCCGGCCAACTTGCCAGTGCCCCAGGTGCACCCGCCTTCTTTACACATCTGGCCGCAGTGGGTGCCCCAGATTCCTTACCTTGATGGCCTCCACAGAGTCATACTTGTCCAGTTTGTTGATGTGGTTAGTGATGCTGGTGTTGAGAGGGGCAGGTGACACGGGGTGGATGACGGTGGCATCGTGGGACTGCTGCTGGTACCGCTGGCAGTAGGTGTAGACCAGCAGGGTGAGGAGGCAGCCGAGGATGGAGCTGCTCAGCCCCACGGCAATCATGTGGAACATGTTGAACTCTGGGGGGACAGATGGAAGGACACCACATGTGAGAAGGACACGCCACCTGACTGCTCTGGGGGGACAGACGGAAGGACGCCACACGTGAGAAGGACACGCCACCTGACTGCT